TGTGGTATCGTGAAGATAGGTCTGATCGGACTCAGGTGTTGAGAGGAAAACTAACACAGACAACACAATAGTCAGTGAATTTTGATTTAAAAGCAGTTATCAGCGCTCACACCACATGAGTTATACACATTTTTAAACCACATCCTGCTAGTTCAGTAGACTGACTCCTACCCAGAAAGCACAGGAGCATTTGGTCTGTTCATAACAATAACCCTATCTGATTGTCCAGGGTCAAGCTACTGTTTATCTTTGCCAGACGGAACCCATATCCTGAGCAGAGAACCTAAAACCTTCTGCGTTTTCCACCAGTTACTTCAAGGCTATACAGGCTCTGACATTCTTTCTATGTAATCACCTAAACAATAAGAAAAATACTTTGGCCCTGGCCGAATAGCTCAGTTGGTTAGAGTGTCATCCTGTTACACCAAGGTTTTGAGTTCAATACAAGAATCAACCAATGAATGCATAAATAAGTGGAACAACAAACCTCTTGCTTTCTCCTCCCTTTCTCTCTCTCTAAAACCAATAAATCAATAAATTAATAAAAGAGAAAAATACCTTTTTAAAAGTATTAGGTAAAAGTAAACACAGATACAATGACCAGAGCTTTGCTTTTATTTTCCTTCTCATGAGCACTCAATACATGTTGAGGCAAAAGTAGGCTTATGAAACACAGAATTTACTCTTCTATTATTACTTATTAATTCATTATATTATTTTCCAAAGAAGAACTGTAAAGTCACTTTTGCCATACCCTGTATTTTGCAAAAGATGGGCAGTGCTGCCCTCTACTGTTGGATGTTGAAATGTTAACAATGCACTTCTATTTTCCTGCTAGCTATGTGGAATAGATTAAGACAAATCTATTATAGTATATTGCTTTAGTCTAAAATAAACATGTTCTTAGCAAACACATTGAATTTATTTCCTTCATTATCTTTTCATCTACGTTCATCTCGTATAAAAGCGTATGGCTCAATAAAAAGGACATCACAATTTGGGGGAAAATGCTAACACATTACTCCAGAAGTAAGAGGCTGTATTAGTGGTGCATTTAGGGAGAAACAGGACAAGGAGAGGAAATTTTCCTCTGACTTTAATTAAGGTCTGTAGCTTTGAAGTTCTTTTGTCATTTGAATGTCTTCATTTGCTTTCTGTTAAGTCAATCCAGTTTCTTTTTGTTTCAACTGCACATAATGACAGTCACCTAGGAATGTTGAAAGAATAGAGGAATAGTGTTTCTAAAACACTTTCTATTCTTCAAAAAAGGTAATATAGAAATACAAAGTTATTATTAACATTGCTTAAACTTATTAAATATGTTGTCTTACTACCTTTAAATTGCTTTGAGATTTTTACTGCTCACTACAAGATTCTTAAAGAACTCGAAATATTTTTAAAATTATTTCCTGCTTTCTTTTTCATTTTTAAAAAATTTCAGAGTATATGCCTGCAAGAGAGAGGCCAGAGCAAAAAGACTTCAAAGAGAGTTAGCTAAATCATTATCCTACAGCTATTCAGGGACTAAAGTGTATCATATGGCAATGATAATTTCCAAAACTGTGTTCAAGGCGTATGTATGTCAACACTAAGCAAAATCTTTTTGCCCCAATTTATTTAAGAATATTAAAATTCAGACACATTAAGTAATTGACTCAAAGTTTCAAAACTAGTAAGAGGCAAAACAAGGATTTCATTGTTCTGCTATGCAGCTCATCATTCAATGAACAAAGTAAATAAATCTCAAAGGCAAATGCCACCCTTTGGGATCTTGGCTTGACCTCCTTAGGCTTGGGAGACTTAACAGCCTTGGCACATGCATTCATGGTCTTGGCGTTGTTGGCCTGCATCTTCTTCAGGCTCTTCTTATTGTGCTTCTTGGTGAAGCACATGTTCCTCAGGAACTTGGGGTCTACCCTCAGGAGATTCGTCTTTGTGATTGGGGTTTCTTTTTTTTTTTTAAATATATTTTATTGATTTTTTACAGAGAGGAAGGGAGAGGGATAAGAGAGTTAGAAACATCGATGAGAGAGAAACATCGATCAGCTGCCTCCTGCACACTCCCCACTGGGGATGTGCCCGCAACCAAGGTACATGCCCTTGACCGGAATCGAACCTGGGACCCTTGAGTCCGCAGGCCGACGCTCTATCCACTGAGCCAAACCGGTTAGGGCAATTGGGGTTTCTTGATGGCATTTCTGTGCCATTTTTGGGACTAGTTGTGTGTGGTGTGGTTCTGGGACTTGGCCATATTTGCACGAAGCACCTGGGACCAGAAGCTACAGTTTTGGTTTGTAAAGAAATAAGCGTTCAGCACACAGCTCAGCTGCTAAATAATACCCCACTCTCAGTGACAGCATATACCCAAATATGACCATTTCAAACCACTTTGTAACTGAATGTAAAATGTGACTAACTCCTCCTTCCCCTGACTTGTTTCTAAACTTAGACCTCTGGGCATCAGGGGCAAGATTGAATACAATAAGCAGGTGTGGAGTTTGCTTAGAGGTCCATGCAGTACTCACTGCTGCCCTGGCCTCGCCAGCCTCTTATGCTCTGGGCCCTGAACGCTTCAGATTTCCAAGAGAGTATATTCTAAAGGGATTCATTCCAGATGAAGCTGTTCCCAGATCTTCTCTTACAATTCTGAAACTAGGGGCTGAAGGGATGGGGAAGCAGAAGGGGATGGTAGGGAGGTTGCTTAAATGCTTAAGAATCATTGATTTAGAGGTATGATATTCACAGTGTTGGCCAACAATATGGTCACTCCTTATATCATTCCCTGTGGGAAGAACAACCTCAGGTTAGCTAAACATCTTTCTTTTGACCTTCATTGCCCTTTCCCTGGATACTCACTTTACCTGGCTGCCTACTTGTCTGGGCAGTGTTGGCCTCTCAAGAGTCTTTGACTTGAATTATCCATTCAGCAGCCAGGCAGTGTTGCATCAATTCTAAGTCAAAGTGTTATAATTAGCAATGGCCTGGAAAGCATTTTGTTTATTCCAAGATTGGCATTTTACTTAGAGGGGCAGCCTGCAGGGCTCAGGGCAGAAGGGCACTGAACTTAATGTCCAAGAACCTCATATTCCTAAGGAAAAATGTTTGATACTTGGATCCCACATATGTTGTCTCCAGCCCCTCTCCCCCCACCCACCCACCTAGTAACTGCTTGCCCTTTCTGAAAATTCACAAATGAGATCGTGCAGACATGAGAAAAACTGCATGCCTATGGCACTTTCTTTGCCCCTATCAGCACGGACTTGGTTATGGAACTGCTTAGGTTATCGATAAATATTTATTTGGACTTAGCTACGCTGATAGTGTTTAGCTAACCCCAGGTTGTTCTTCCCCTAGGGAATGACGTACGGAGTGACCATATTGTTGGCCAACACTGTGAAGATCATGCCTCTAATGGGCCTCTGGGGAGGCCGGGCCATAAAACACGCCTCTCGGCAGCTGCCTTCTGCCAGTGCCTTTGGCAGCACCGAAAGTTCATTGTCATTTCACCTTTAAACTTGCAACCTGAGAGGAAGGTGTTGTTCATGAGACACTGTGTGCGGTTACCTTTAAAACCAAAGGCAGTGTTTCTGAAAAGAAGCAGAGGCCACCCAAGGTTGGCAAGTGTTGCTCCAGGTTCTCTTGGCTTGTGTTCATTACTTTGAGTGGGAAATTCATTTGGAGACGTGTTGTATCACTCAATGAACAGAGGCTGAGGTACGGTTTTCGTCGGACCCATGAAGAGAACGGTGGCCTCCTTCCACCCTTTACTGCACACCGACTAAGTGCAAGAAACGGAGGGCGACTTACACAGGATGAGCTCTCTGGCCAAAGAAGCCACCCACCTACACGGGGTGTGGCAGATGAGCAATGACAACAAAAGCTAACACGTAGGGAGTGCTCACTAGATGCAAAAAACCCCCACCCACTTCGTAAGTATGAACTCACATAATCCCCGGGGGAAAATACTATCACCTCCCCTTTACCGAGCAAGAACAGAGAGGTCGAGTAACTTGCCTAATCCTGCACAAGTTAGCAAGTGGCAGGACCGGAATCTAAGCTACGACGTGGGTTCTTAACGAGGGCATTTTCTAAAATGGTAATACTGCTCACAAGGTACGTCAGACGCAAAGGAAAGAGGCGGATTTGACTAGAGTGAGGATTAAGGGAAGACTTTCTGGAGGAGGCATTTACTCCGGGTCTTGAAGGTCACCAGGTTGGGGGTGGCGGGGGGAGGAGGAATACTCAGGGAAGGAAGAGCCTGCCTGAGAGAAGAGGCAGCCTGGGGGCCAGCCAGCGGAGGACACAAGATCGGGCTGAGTCCGTGCCGGGGAGGAAAGCAGGACAGGAGCGGCGCCCAGACCCCGAAGGTCCTTTAGGACCAGGCTTCTCTGCAAGGAAAGGGAAACAACCATCTCCAATTGCAAGAGCGGCAGAAAGGAACTCCCGGTCTCTCCCCCTCTCTCTCTTAGTAGGATGTCCCCGGCCTGAGACCAAGGCGCGCGGCCCACCCCCATTTCCCTCTGGAGATGGTCAAGGTCGCCCGCGCGGGTTCTGGAGCTGCACGTCCTGGCCCGAGGACTGGCGTCCCGAGCGCAGACCCGGGGACTTGGCTACCAGTCGGGGCCAGGTCAGGCCGGGTCAGGAACGTGCGTGTACCGGTACCGGAAGGCCCCTCCGCCGTAACTCCCGCCGGCCACCGATCAGATACCTGGTGATCCCCCGAAGGTCGATGACGAAGCCTCCGGGACACTCTGGTCGCTCGGCTCCGCCCCACCGTCCTCGGACGCCCGGAAAATGGCCTCAGCGATAGGACCACGCTCTGCCAATCAATATACGCCACGCCCCCAGCTCAGACGTAGTCCATTGCATTGGTGGTATTATGCCGCCTATCAGATTCTCTTCTTGGATTGGCTGATAACGTCTTGTGCGTCAGAAGCTGGCGATTGGCTAACCGCGTTGCCAAGCTCCGGACGCGGCTCGACCATTGGAGGTCGCGGGCCCGCCCCGCTGGCTAGTTGAAGGTGAGAGTCTCCTCCAGCCGGCGCGGCTGAACCAGACCGAGCGGCTCCAGCCTCACGGACTCCAGCTCTCTCGCCATGGCGCCTCCGTCAGTGTTTGCCGAAGTTCCGCAGGCCCCGCCGGTCCTGGTCTTTAAGCTCACTGCCGACTTCCGGGAGGATCCGGACCCCCGCAAGGTCAACCTGGGAGTGGGAGGTAAAGATGCCGTGCCCAGGCGCGTGAGTTGCCCGGGGAGCGGAGCGGACCTAACCGGGGCTGTGGGGACTGTGGGAGGGAAGGGCGGAGGCCAGCTTGGCACTGGGGTAGGGGCCGCGGAGGGGCAAGATCATGGAGGCTTAGTTCAACCTGCTTATTTTACACATGGGTATAGGAGCCCCTGGCAAAGGGAGATGTGTCTGTCCAAGGTCACACAGAATAGATGTAGCGGCCAGGACACTAGCGCAGTTGTCCCAATCCCCGTTCCGTGTTCTTTAAAAAAAAAAAAAAAAAAAAAAAGGAGAGGGAGAGAGAGATAGGAACATCAATGATGAGAGAGAATCACCGATCGGCTGCCTCCTGCACGCCCCCTACTGGGGATCGAGCCCGCAACCCAGGCATGTGCCCCTGGCCAGAATCGAACCCGGGACCCTTCAGTCCGCAGGCTGAGGCTCCATCCATTGAGCCAAATCAGCTAGGGCCGTTCCGTGTTCTTTATACTACATTCTTCACTTCGTAAGAAGTGGGCGGCCAGAGATTGTAGGGAGAGAGGGTAAGATAGGAAGCCTGCTAGGCTTGGAGTCCTGTAGATGGGAAATGGACAAGGGAGAACTCAGCCCTGGGGAGCTTTGTTCTGAGCCGGTAAATATGTGAGTGGCTACCAGGTATCAGTCAGGTACTTTCCCAAGCCGTGTGTGTGTGTGTGTGTGTGTGTGTGTGTGTGTGTGTGTGTGTAGGGGGTGTTGAAGACGGGCTTTGTTTTGCCTTCAAGAAGTAGGTGTTAAGTGAGATAAAAGAGATGGGAAATGCTTCTGTGGCAGGTTAATGCTCCCTGGGGGGACCTGGGAAGAATGTTCCAGCCGTTTAGAAGTGGTAGGAAAGGAGTAGAGAGGGTGGAAAGGCATTAGAAACTCATTTTCTACACATCCTTGCCTTCCTTTCTTGCTTGTATTTCTTGGACCTTGAACAGTTTAGAGCATGGGCCTCAGTTTTCTTCTTCTGCCAAGAAAAAGATTTGGACTTTAAGTGCCTCTTAAATTCCTTTAACTTTAATCTTCTCTGGTGAAATTTTTATTTCTATCAACTGTCGTTTGGATGTTTGAAACTCCACACACTTTCTGGACCACATACAGAGTCCAGCCAGGAAGAAGAAAATGAATAGGGTGATGTTCTATGCTAGGGAACAGACTTTACTAAAAGGAGTAAAATTTATATATATATATTTCAGAGAGGAAGGGAGAAGGGAGAGGGAGAGATGGAAACATCAAAGGTGAGAGAGAATCATTGATCGGCTGCCTCTAGCAGGCCCCCCTCTGGGGTGGAACCCACAACCTGGGCATGTACTCTGACTGTTAGGTCCTGAAGGAGGAACACAGGAGGTCAGAGTGGTAAGGGATTATGAATTTATTCATTTATTCAGTCATCCTCACACCAGGTGGCTGAGCCTGGATGCCTCCACCACCCAGTGACAGAGTCAGCAGCTTTTAAAGGGGCTTTTTCTGGGTGGAGACCTCTTTATGCATACCCGGAGGGGGATAATGGAATGTGGTCACCGCAAGTGAAATGTCTTCAGCAAAGGGACTGTCCATAGTGCAATGATCTGAAATGCCAGTTCCTGGGGGAGGGGTATCAATTCAATTGCTCAATCAAACCTAACACTGACCATGCGTGGGAATCAAACCGTGACCTCCTGGTTCATAGGTTGATGCTCAACCACTGAGCCACACCGGGTGGGCAAAGGAGTAAAACTTTTAGAAACAGACAGTTGGACTGTTTTGTAGCAGAGGGTGGCAGGAAGGCGGTTCAGAATCAGGCTTCCCATTGTGACTGTTTATGTCTGTGCATATGACCTGTTAAAAAGACTTCACCAAAGATTATGGGGGAGGGTAAGAAAAAGCCATTAAAAAGTGAGGGTTTGTTGAAGCTGGTAATTTGTTGAAGCTGGGAAATGGGTACATGGGCATCCATTATGTTATTCTTGAATTTTTGTATATGTTTGACATTTTTCATAAGAAAGCATTTTTAAATCAATACTACGTAGTTTCATCCACAAAATGAAAAGTGATATTTCTAGCAGGCAGCAGAGTGGGAGAAACATCGAAAGATTGCCTTGAATTGAATTAAAGTGGGTACCATTCACCCTCTTATTTAAATCCAATCCAAACTTCCAAGTATTTCTTAGGGCCAGATATATGGTGATGAACTAATATTGATGTTGATCTAAATATATATTTTAAAACCTCAGATTTTATTGATTCAGTTACCTTTGAATTGTCTTACAGGGTTTTTATGAGGATTACATACATCTAAAGTACACAGAACAGTTTCTGGCACATAAGTAGGAGTTATGTAAGGATTAGCTATTGCTGTTATTGTTTTGGCATTTCTTTGGGTGGGTCACAAAAAATGTTGAATAAAAATGTTCAGTTCAAGAACTGCAAAATGCAAGTTCCTGGCATTGGTTCAGAAGTAAAGTGCTCGTGCAGAGAAAAAGCACCCTCCCAGCCCAGACCAGTTGTGATTAGCTCAGATGCATAGTCTGCAGCTCAGAAGTTCACTTCAACTGTGACAGTGCCTTTGTCATGTTTTCCAGGAACCCAGGAACTTCACCTCCTTATTATGAGCAAACTAGAGGCCCAGTGCACGAAAAAGTGCACGGGTAGGGTCCCTAGACCTAGCCTGTGATGAGGGCCATCTTCCACCTGCTCACCAGTCCCCAGTCCCACCCCACCGCCGCCACCCACCTGGTTCCCCTCACCAGTCCTCAGTCCCACCCTGCTGCAACCTACCACGGTTCCCCGTTCGCCATCCAGCAATCATTCGCCATCCAGCAATCGTTCGCCATCCAGCAATCGGAGCCTGTGGGCCGGGGGTGGGGCGGGGAGGGACCGAGAGGTGGTCAGTGCACCTCATAGCTACTGGTCGAGTGGTTGTTCTGGTTTTACGCCGTTATGGTCACTGGGCTTTTATTATATAGGATGATTTTTGCATTTAATCTAATTTCATGCTTACAATGACTCTGGAGGGTCGTTACTATTACTGATGAAGCAGGCAAGTTATATGGCCATTGGTGGTGTGGAGCTGGGATTCTAGGCCAGGTCTCTCACACTCCTGGGTCTCTGCTCCTTCCTCTGTTTTGGGTACTTTCAGGTGCTCCAGAGGCAGTCAGTGCACTGTAGTGGGAAGAGCCAGGAGACTTGGGTACGGATTCAGTGGCATGACCTTGGATGGGTTATTTAACAGACTTAGTTGGTGAAATGAGGAGGCAGGGCAGAATGCCCTTTCTCTAAAATTCTACTCTTAAGATTCACTAGCACATTTCCTGACTATAGGTTAGGATAATAATGTTACTGGCCTCTTCCATTGACTGAGGATTAAATGAATAACGATGAAATGTGATATGTAAATAAAGTGTTATATAAATGTTATTTTTGATGATTACTGTGACCTGTCTTTTTTGTGGATGACAGGTGTGGATGATAAGGGTCTAAATAAAGTAAAGTAGAATAAGAAGTCTCTTTTCAGCCTTTGTATGTCCTAGCTGTATACTCATCCCACAATATCTTCTTTGTGAAGGAAATGTAATTAGTCACTGATTTTGAGTCACTTAACTCTTTTTCCTCCAAGTTAAGCTAAAGCCCAATGGTGGTTATCCAGCTCAAGTTCTAGTAATGTTGGACATGTTTTGAATAAATTGCAACCATAATCTCATTAGCTAGTTGCTACTTGCAGATTATTTCTCCAGAGAGTTTCTTTTTGCTATGACAATTTGCATAATTTCCTTATAGTTAGAGCATTTTCCACTGATCAGTATGATGCTTTCTGAGTTGACAGTTTTACTGCTTCTCAAGGTTTCAGACAAATGGCTTTAGGCTGCGGAGACATGGGTCCAGCCTGAAGCAAGACATTTCTTCATGGACTCCATTCCGTTTGTCATGTAAACTTAGCTTTCTTTTGTTCCAAACTGTACTGACTTTAATATTTGTTGTCATTTTTAATGTGGGTTCTGGCATCTTCAGATAAAATTATTGGACAGATGTGCTATATTAGGTGTTTCTGAGTACCCCTGGCCCTTTCCCCAGAACCTTTGTGGGAGAAGGGCCTTAGAGGCATATCTGCATCGGCTCTTGAGTGGAAATGGGTAAAGGAAGTGGAAATCTTAGGAGGAGGAGAGGTGATGGTTTCATCTTTTAGTTCTCTATTTTGTTCCTTTTCATCTGGAAAGCAAGACTGCTGGACTCACCTGAAACCTGTGTGACTCCTCTAAAAGGGTTTCTACCCAGGGATAACAGCAATGCTGCATGGAAGTGGGAGCATGCTGATAAAAAGGCCACTCGCACAGTCCTCTGGGACCTGCTTGCTTTGGGCTTTTTCTATACATCTGTTATTCTTAAAAAAGACACATGGATTAAGTATGACAGTCTGGTTCTTACAGACCTTGTGATCTTGGAAAATTTATTTAGCTTTTCTGGTCTCAGTTTCTAGACCCCTAAAATAGGGATCACAGTATCTATATTGTGAGTTGTTACAAGAATTGAGAGTAAAAAGAAGTAAAGCATTTAGCATGGTCCCTCGTATGTGCTAAGTATTCAGTAGGTCCTTGTTATTACAATGGCTTTGGCTTCTTTATATCCTGAACTTCCCTGAAAACCAGACCCACATTTGCTATAGTTTGCTGAGTCTATCCTACAACCACCTCAAATGCAACATGTTTAAAACACAACTCATCATTTTCACCTTCCCCTCAACCTTTTCTTTTTTTTCTTCCCCATATGTTCTATATCTTGGTCAACTCCACCAGATAATAGATTCAATCATTATCCCTAGAGAGAGACTTTGGAGTCATCAGGGACCCTTTCCTGGATCCTATATCTATTTACTTGGTTACTGTAAATATTTCTCTTTTCTCCACGTCCAGCATGGCTAGAGAGCGGTCTGGTTCCTGAGTAGGGGCTGCTGGGGATTGAGAAAATGAAAGAAAGAGACAGACACAGAGATGGAAGGAAAAAGCTGGGGCCGGTGGGACCCCTGTCCTCTGATGGAGAGACAGGGACCCAGAGCCAATACAGCGTGTTTATTTTATACAGCAAAAACCAGGAAGTTTTACTAAAAGTTAAGACAAAGGAGATTATGTTCATTCTTGGATGGGCCCGAGTAGTATTCATTCCTGGTGCTTGGCTGGATTTAAATAACAAAACCCACCCCCTGGCACCTGGGCTGAAGGTCAAGCTGACAACACTCCTGCCTCTGGCAAAGCATGTTTCCAGGACGTGGCTTTGCCAACACCACTGGATTCAGCTGACAATAATTAAAGAAATGCCCATGTGCCTTCCCAGGCTCGCTCTCTACAGGTTGTTACCTTCTGTCTTTTTTACCTCATAAATCTTTTTTTAATTATCTCTCCTTTTCTTTATCCCTTCTGCTGCTCCTTAATTCAAGACCTCATTATTTTCCTTTGGGATTATTGCAGTAACCTCCTGGCTTGATTATCTGCCTCCATCCTCCTCTCCAGTTATTTTCTATCATGTCAGTCAAATGATCCTATTACAGCTGTCCATGTCACTCTCTCTCTGTCTCTCTCTTTTTTAAAAATATATTTTTATTAATTTCAGAGAGGAAGGGAGAGGGAGAGAGAGAGAGAGAGAGAAACATCAGTGATGAGAGAGAATCATTAATGGGCTGCCTCCTGCATGTCCCATACCGGGGACCAAGCCCACAACCTGGGCATGTGCCCCCTTGACCGGGACCGAACCTGGGACCCCTCAGTCCGCAGGCTGATGCTACAACCACTGAGCCAAACCAGCTAGGGCTCCATGTCACTCTCTTGCTTAAATGCTTTCAGTGGTTTGCCCAGTGAAATGAAGTTCCTTCTAGAAGAGACTCCAAGACTCTTTGAACCACTCGTTGGTATCCCTCCATGGATCCTCCATTCCAATCATGAAAATGCAGATCCTCCAAAACATCTCTCCAAGCCTTTTGGACTTTGCCAGTGTTCTCTCTGTGCGGAATGCTTGTCTTTCTTTATCTTTTACACCCTTTCATACCTCATTGTCTGCACAATCTCCCCTGACCCCTCACAGGAGAATTAATGGCTCTATGCTCTATGTTTTCTAGAGAGCAGTGTTTTATTTTATCTTATCCATCTTTGTGTAGCTACTTCTAGTCAATGCCTGGTCCATGATAGATTCAGTACATCCTTGTAAGATGAATGAGAGAATAAAAAAATGGGTGAGAAACTTATTAGTCCAGAAACAGGAATAAAATCCCTTGGGCAGCAGGAACAGTGGTTGTTGATAATGCTCCAATCACCCAAGAGGAATCTGCAGTTCTGCCTCATTAGGCCATTTAGGTGAGACATTGGGAATACATCTGGAACTGAACCTGGGGAAACAGCAATGAAGAAGGAAAGGGAGGTTTAAATTGGCCAATTTCTCTTTTGTCACAATATAGACACACTACCTCCCTGACACCAGTTGCATTAAGTATTTCTTAAGAGTTGCACAGAGTATACAATACTGGTAAGAGCAATAGTACTGTGGCTTTTTCTTTATCTCATTTTATTTATTTAAAACATACAATTTACAAATATTGTCTAGCCACTAAAATTGTGCTGTAAATTGCTCATATATATTTGAAAAATGCCCACTTGCCTTTATAATAAGAGATATGCAAATTAAAACTACTCTGAGATTCTATTTGCATTCTCACATTGGCAAAAAAAAACACACCACTCGGTGAGGCTGTGTGGGGAAGCAGACAGTCTTATATGTTGATGGTAGGAATGTAAACTGATGACATTCTGATGGAGGACAATTTGGACATGCCTGTCAAAAACAACAAATGCACATATTTCTCAGCCCACTTTACCATTTCAACCTTGCATCTAACAGATATATTTGCACACGTGTAAGATGACGTATGTACAAGGTTGTTCACTGAAGTTTTGTAATAGCCAAAGATTGGAAACAACTCAAATGTTCATCAACAAGAGACCGGCAAAACAAATTATGGTACACTCATCAGTTTTGTGCTGTAGAAAAGAACAAAAACATTGTATGCACAGGTATAAAAAGATCTTCAAGTGGAAAAAGCAAGAAACAAAACTGTATATTATGGTATATGTTACCTTTTGTGTGAAAAGAGGGGGGACATAGCTGTATTTCCTTGTGTGTGCATAGGGAAGTTCTGGAAAAAAGAAACTTTTTTTTCTTTTCTACAAAAAGAAATTAAGAACAGTTTATTCATGGAGTGAGAGTATTTGGAACTAGGTTAAATGGAGGATAAAGATGGGATGAGGGCATGTGAATATATCACCTATTAGAAGAATAGTTAATGACAATTAGTTTTTTGATAAGTGGAAAAAAGCACATTGAAAATTCTATATACAATCTGATTCATGTTTTATAAAAGAATATAATCATGTAAAATAAAGCTTATAAGGTTGTATACCAAAATTTTCATACTCCTTATCTTTGAGTGCTGGGATTACATGTTAATCATAATGTTTATTATTTACTTTCTGGGCTTTTCTAAATTTTCTACAATCAACATGTGTTGTTCAGTAAATAATATCAACCACCCCACAAAGTGATTTTTAAAAAAAGTTAGGGATTAATATTGGGCAGAAATCAACCAAGTTAATCAGAACTACTCTAAAATTTTCAGTTTCAAAATCACTTGCAAAAGTATAGGCTTGTTGGAGACCTAAACATTCAAGCAGAGAGGCAAATGGCCCCAGCAGGAATCCTACTCAGAGAGATCACTGGCTTGGGTGCAAGCCAGAACAGCTGCCCTCTAAAGCCATAATCCCCAAATAAGCATAGGGTAGTATAAAAGGGGGGGAGGGGATCAGTTATAGGATAACTCAAAGTGGACAAAAAATACTTTTAGTGTAGAAGTGCTTAGAAATTTGATTGTAAGCAAGATTAAAGGTTATGAAATAGATGCATTTAGATCAATAAAAGTGTGAAGCACATGAAGTGGGAGGGACAGTTAAAATGGTAAACACTGAATGATGTCAGAACACAGAGAGAGGACACAGATGTGTTTCAGTGGGCTGTTGAGTGATTGTGTAACCAGTTTTTGGAATCTTCAGTCACAGGGCATTTGCTTGTCATTTGTCCCATTTCTGTTCATATGGGACAAGAGGAGGAGGTGGGTCTCCTTTCACACCCCTCTCTCTGCATGTTTATGTTTGAAGGTGCAGCTTTCATCTGAAGTAGCATCTAGCCTTTTTCTGGAAGTCTCTTGGGGCGATACAGAAGGAAGCAGATTGGTGGGTCAATGGCTATAGAGACCTCAGTGCACTAGTAATACTGACATAGCATTTGTAAGATATATCATTTTAGTTCGCTGAGTGCTTTCACATGCATTCTCTCACTCCATCAGGCTCTGATGTCCCAGTTTTATTTTAACATTCTATTTTTCGGTGATCATAAATTTAAGAACTATAAGTTCTGTAAGGATAGGAACCATGTCTGTCTTTCTATTTGCCCAGCACCTAGCCCAGTGCTTGGCCCAAAGCAGGCAGTCACTTCCTGAACTTTAGTTTGTTTTGATCAAATGGTGATAGAATTTTCCCTGTTCATAGTTCCAAACTCTTATTTGGACAAAGCCTCATATAAGTTCCTTATGTAACTCTTTCCCATGTTCTAGCTTATCGCACGGATGACTCCCAGCCCTGGGTTTTGCCTGTAGTGAGAAAGGTGGAGCAGAAGATTGCTAACGACAGTAACCTAAACCACGAGTATCTGCCAATCCTGGGCCTACCGGAGTTCCGGACCCATGCTTCCTGCCTTGCCCTCGGGGATGACAGCCCAGCAATCCAGGAGAAGCGGGTGAGTTTTTGGATGAGGATATATATTTTCTCTTTAGGAACTGTGAAGGTGAAAAAGAGGTTGAAAATTCAAGTTGTTTTAAAATGTTAGGTGTTATGTCTATTGAACTGTCGATGAATCAGGGTTTAAGTAGTGTGACCTCAGGAACCTGATAGAGCAAATAACGTGCTTTTGTATAAAGCACAGCTTCTTCAATGGTTCACTTTTGCCCAGTTGATTATCACATTTCAGCTACTGGGTTTGAAGCAGTCAGAGGAAATGCTGCAAATAACGTGCTTTTGTATAAAGTACAGCTTCTTCAATGGTTCACTTTTGCCCAATTGATATCAGATTTCAGCTACTGGGTTTGAAGCAGTCAGAGGAAATGCCAAGCTAAGGGAATTTAATGGATTTATCAAAAGACTAGGGTCTGGATCCAGCTCTGCCACTCTTTTTGACCATAGGCAAATCACTTACCCCTCTGGCCCCTATGACTCATCTACGTGTTACCAAAAGACTAGTTTGTGGCTCCTGGTCTCATAAGGCTTTTATCAGATTTTCGAAAGGAGTCTGTGGCCCCCAAAAGTTCAAGAACCACTAGTCTAGATGCACTCTGAAGTTCCTGTCACTTTTACTGTATCCTTTTATTCTTCTAGCCTTGGTCTCAGCTTCTCGCATTTCAGTGCTTCCTGGTACATAGTCTGTGTATAACTAGAGACCCTGGGAAGAGGAGCACATTTGGAAGCAGCCAGTGAGAGAGGCTCTATGTGGCAGGAAGTGGTTTTGTGGAGATTCCCAGTGTTGTAGGGATTCAGAGAAGAAGGAGGCTGGTGATGGCCGAAGATGAGACTTCCACTGAACCTTGGGAAATGAGACTACAACACTGGTTTTCAACACTGGCTACGTTAGTATAACCTGGGGAGTTTTTAAAAATATACTGAGGCTGGACCCAACACCAGGCCAGTTAAATCAGAATCTTGGAGGGTACCACCCTATCCTGCCCTTTTACTACCTTCCCTTCATGGGCATTTAAAACAAATTTAAAAAAAAAATACAGTATATTTTTATTGATTTCAGAGAGGAGAGGGAGAGAGAGATAGAAATATCAATGATGAGAGAGAATCTTCGATCAGCTGCCTCCTGCACATCCCACACTGGGGATTGATCCCGCAACCCAAGCATATGCACTGACCAGTAATTGGACCGTGACTTCCTGGTTCATAGGTTGGTGTTCAACTACTGAGCCATGCCAGCCAGGCAACGGGCATATTTTTAATAGCCCTCTAGGTGATTCCAAAGTACAGCCGGATTGAGAACCACAAGGTACAGAGGGAAGGTATTTGTCTGAAGTAGTGAAAGTTCAGGGCCAGAGGTAAGAGGTAAGCAGGCCTATATGTAAAGAGACCTATCTGATCAGGCAGGCTGGTTTTAGCAGCCCTGGCAGGGGAAGCCACCTGAAGGTTTGAGCAGAGGAGTTACCCAATAAAAGTGTTGGAAGAAGATAAACTTGGCTGGGTGCGTACAAAGGGAAAGAGCTCAGGTTTTTGCAATAGCTCAGTTAGATATTATGCAATTTAAACCAGCGGCCCTTATCGCTCCCCTGGGCCATTGTCTAGTGCGCCCTCATGAGTGGAAGGGACCACATCTTGGAGACACCTGATTTATCCCCACATGCTGTTACCCATATGCTCTGATAAACAGGACTGCAGGGTCTAGTGAAGGTTACACAAGGGCACATTATTATGTGTATCAGAAGGCAGTGAGGCTCCAGGTCGGTGATTAGGCAAGTAATTAACTTAATTAGGGTGACTCACTTCAAGGAACTGAAGGGTAATACGGGTAGAAATGGAAGAGTTTAGAGATTATGGGTGGCATTGAGACACTGCTCTGACAATCCAGTGTTTCCATAGAGGGAGAGGAGTGTCTTGATAAAGTTTGAAAGTGGGGAATTTTGGCAACTGGGAATTCTTTCTGAGGTGCTGTTGATAGTTGGAATTCTGTTAACAAATGAAAGCAGAGATTCTGTGTTGGGGAGTTTCTTCTCCTAAGACTGTACATTCTTACACATTTATTAACTATGTTGGGCAGACACTTGTTCCTTTGCCCAACACTCCCCATTATTGATCACTTAATGCTGTAAGACTTGGGGCTATTACTTGTGGAACATAGCCCTCCGCCTTAGTCTAGTGCATTTCATATTTTCTTTTTTTAAAAAATATTTTTATTGATTTCAGAGAGGAAGGGAGAGAAAGAGAGATAGAAATATCAGTGATGAGAGAGGATCATTGATCGGCTACCTCCTGCACACCCCCTACTGGGGATTGAGCCCACAACCTGGGCATGTGCCCTGACCAGGAATCAAACCGTCAACTCCTGGTTCATAGTTTGATGCTCAACCATGGAGCCACACCAGCTGGGCTTTTTAAACCATTTTATCGTAGAAAATTTCAAATATCTACAACAATAGATAAAACAGTGTAATGAGCAAACCTCCATGCATCCATCACCTAGCTTCAACAATGGTTTGTATTTGGTCAATCTTGTATACCTCCCACTGCCCTGCCAAAGCTGAATTATTTTAGAGCAGATCCTAGACACCACCATATATTTAAAAAAAAATTATTTAAAAATTTTACAAATAATACATGAAGACATTTTTATTTTTAAAAGACAACTTACAGGTTAGGCCACATCCCTTAGACCACTATTCTCCATAGCCGAGGCCCCTCCACAGAGGTTGCCACTGTTTTTAGGTTGATATGTGTCCTTCCTTTTATTTAGATAGGCTTTTCCATGTACTCTTTTCCTTTCTTTCTCCTTAATCCTATAGACATAGTAAGCAACATGTAATTTATAACATTTCTCTACTGAAAGAGTTATGCCAAAACCTTGTTTAAATCATGAAAGGGCAAAATCAAAGATATAGAGGCAGAACAACAATGGCTTAGTGACTAGAGTGAGAAGACCTGGGTTGATGTCCAGCTCTGCTACTCACCACCTGTGTCTTCTTTGGCAAGCCACTTCTCTGAATCAGTTTCCTCATGTAAATTTGGGATCTAGAACTTATTTCATGGGATTGTATAAGGATAAAAAAAAGAACGTATGTGAAGGTATTTGGTAAATGGTAAAACTTAGGACTTTCATTATTGCCCCTGTGAGGTCATTTTAAGATGAGATGAAGCTCAAGGAGAGAAAGTAGTATTCACACGTCACCTTTGTTTCATTAGAATATATGTCTAAGGATTCCTAAGCCTGCATTATGGAAGGAGAAAGCAGTATTCAGATTGATGTCAATGGCAAGCTGGAACATTATTTTCCAGGCTTCTGCTGGAGGGCAGTTTTTATCTTGGGATGGGTATCAAAGGGATTGAGGGTGTGCCCTCCAGGGCACACTCTGATGTGGCCTAGGTATGTTCTCTTCTTCTGTATTCAGAAGGGAAGCTCCCCTCAGAGTCAGACTTCAGACTTCCCTAATGCTCATAGTTGGCCCTAATGCTCATAGTTGGTAACTTTGAGCAATGTGCTTCAGTTCTCAGCCTCCATTTCCACATTTGTAAACATGGGCAAATAACAGTATCTTCTTCATGTAGGTGTGAGGTGTGATGAGACAGTACATTTAAGGGCTTAGCATAGAGCAGGCACACAGTAAATGCTCATCATTACTGTATTTTTCCCGATATTTTCTGACTTCCCCATTGTCAACCAGTGACCCTGCTTCTTCTCTTTCAGGTAGGAGGTGTGCAGTCTTTGGGGGGAACAGGTGCACTTCGAATCGGAGCTGAGTTCTTAGCGCGATGGTACAATGGAACAAACAACAAGGACACGCCTATCTATGTATCCTCACCAACTTGGGGTGAGTTCTTTAGGTGTATTAAGAGGAGAAACAAAGAAACTAGGGGCAATTATCCTCATGATTCTCACTGTTTACCCAGAAAATGTAATCCAGCCCTGGATCAACTGACATTTAGGAATGGCTTCAGCAGTGGATTTTGGCAGGACACGCGTAATATGATGCTTAAATTCACATTAGGAATACTTTTTCCCAAGACTCTTGGTAGACTTATGTTTTCATGTGTGTTAAAACTTCCCAGAGGAGGCATAGAATGTAGCTATATAGGAACCATTAGGATGTAAGTTTAGCATGAAGAAGCCTGGTTGAATTTGTTTTTGGTTACAACCATTCTTAACTCCTCACCTCAATGTCACCCAGTGGACATTCCAGGGCCCTGGAAGTTGACCTGTGTCCTTTACAATTACACCTCCTGTGATTATAAAACCATTTACATTTTTACCCCTTTGCTTGCAGAGAATCATAATGCTGTGTTTACTGCCGCTGGATTTAAAGACATTCGGTCCTATCACTATTGGGATGCAACGAAGAGAGGACTTGACCTCAAGGGTTTCCTGAATGATCTGGAGGTGGGTGATGAGATGATAAAGCAAGCAGAACCATAGGGTGCAGGGAAAAGTTTTTGGATCAGTTGATAAGCAAGAGAGTCCTGCTTGTGTCCAAGCTGATGTAGCTTCCCTTTCCTCAGAATGCTCCTGAGTTCTCCATCTTTGTCCTCCATGCCTGTGCACACAACCCAACTGGAACAGACCCAACTCCAGAGCAGTGGAAGGAGATCGCCTCCGTCATGAAGGTAACTAACTGCCTTTCCAGAGCCTCTCTTAACAAGTAGTCTGTATTAACATTTAATGTGTTCAGAAGCCATGCCTATTTACTGGAGAATATGTAAGTGGAGAAAAGCCTGAAGAAGAAAATAAATATTAACTGTAAATCCTGTTATCCAAAGGAAACCACTGTCAATATTTTGGTGCAGAATGTAAGGTTTTTTTTAGTTTTTTTTTTAGTGTAGTTACACATATAAACATATCTGTTTTACAAAGGCAGGATTATTTTGTCTAGACCATTTTATAACATACTTTGTCTTTGATTTGAACTCCCTTACATGTCATTAAATGTTTTGTAGCATTGTTTTCCATGCATGGACATGTCACATAGGGATTGACTAAATTGGTTGATGGGCATTAAGATCTCAGGTTTCTTGCTCTTATGAACAATTATGCAATAAATCTCCATTGTGTTATTTCTTTGGGGTAACTTTCTAGATTGGAATTTCTAGTTTAAAGTGTACATATGTTCTTTATTAAGGCGTTTAAAAAATACTCACTGGGAAACTTATATGACTGGCAGCATGGGGATATACTAGTGAACAAAGCTGCCCTCAAAGAGCATACACAGCCTGTTTGGGGAAACAGCCACGTGAGACAGTTTTGTTGGTGGGGTTATAGAGAGGCACATAGACCGGACTTTGGGAAGTATGTGTGTGTGTGTGTGTGTGTGTGTGTG